CTTATGAAGAAAAACCCATCAGAATTTCAGCAGACTTCTCAACACAAACCTTAAGGGCAAGGAGAACTGGAATGAAGTGTTCAACCTCTCAAAGAAAACAACTTCCAACTCAGACTGATATATCCTGGAAAATTATCTTTCAAAATTAATGGAGAATTAAGATATTTCTAAGAGAAAGAGCACCAAAAATGTTCGTCACTACCAAACCAACATTCAAAAAAATTCTCAAAGATATCCTAGAAAGAAACAGTGATGTTAACCACGCCTAAACATCCAATAAAGTGAATATACCAGGTAGGGCTAGCAATTAAGTAAAAGGGAAAGAAAGGAAAACAGGAAAATTAAGTCAACACATAGCAGTTATAACTATCAAATGAATGGTTTCAGTTTGCCAATCAAAAGACAGATTAGCAGAATGTGTCAAGACACAAAATCCAGCAGTATGCTGTATACAAGAAACACATTTAATTTAAAAAGAAATTCATTGACTAAAAGTCCAAGAAAGGAAAAACATATTCCATGTAACGGGAGCCTGAAAACAAGCAGGAGTAGTTATCCTATTTTCAGACAAAGTGAATTTTAAGCCAAAGCTGATCAAAAGAGGCAAATAAGGACACTACATATTGGTTAACAGAACTATTCAACAGGAAGAGATAACAATTATAAATACATATACACCAAATTACAGTGTACTCAACTTCATAAAACAAACAGTAATGGACATGAGGATCAGATAAACATTAATACCATTACAGTGGGGACATCAATACCACCCTATCACAAAGAAGTCAACTGAAAACAAAAAAATCAACAAAGAAATACTAAGTTGAACCAAAGCTTTGAACAGAGTTAATAGATATCTGCAGAGTGTTCCACTCAACAACAATAAAAACAACAGAATACACATGCTTTTCAGCAGCACATGGTATTTTCTCCAAAATAGACCACATACTAGGAAACAAAGCAGCTTAAGTAAATGTAAAATAATAAAAAGTATCCCAAGCATATTACCAGATCATAGTGCAATGAAACTAGAATTCAATGACAAAAGAAACTATAGAGATTATGCAAATATATGGAAATTAAACAACACACTCTTGAATAATCAGTGGGTCACAGAAGAAATTAAGGAAGAGATAAGATGGTTCCTAGAATTAAATGATAATGCCAGTACAACATATGAGAACTTATGGGACACAATGAAAGCAGTCCTATGAGGGAAGTTTATAACTATGAATTCCTACATCAGAAAAACAGAATGAGCCCAAATAAATAACCTAATGATGTACCTCAAGATCTAGAAAAACAACATCAATCCAAAGCTGGAGTTTGTACAAGGAAGGAAATTATAAAGATCAGGGCAGAATTTATTGAAATGGAGACTAAAAAAAATACAAAAAAATCAGTGAATCAAAGAGCCAGTTCCTTGAAAGAATAAAATAAACTCTTAGGCAATCTTACAAAAGAAAGAAAAGACACAAATCAATGCAATTAGAAATGAAAAGGGTTGGACCCTGGATTTAGCTCAGTGGTTCTGCCACCTGCCTTGCAAGCAGAAGGACCTGAGTTCGATCCCCGGTACCAAAAAAAAAAAAAAAAAAAAGAAATGAAAAGGGTGAAATTACATTAAACACTGCTGAAATCCAGAAGATTATTAGCAACTTCACAAATCTGTACACCAAAACAAAACATTGGAGAACTCAGAAGAAATGGAGAGATTCACAGATACTATGAATTAATGAAATTGAACCAAGGAGATTTAAAACTCCCAATAATTCAGTAACAGGCAACAAACTGAAGCAGCAATAAAAAACTTAAAAAGTCCAAGACTGGGTGGATTCACTACCAAATACTACAAGAGCTTCAGGGAAGATCAAACATCAATACTCCTCAAAGTCTTTAATGAAACTGAGAGGAGAGGAGTACTGCCAAAATCATCCTTGGAAGCTAGCATTACACTGATCCCAATATCACACAAGGATCCAACCAAACAAGAGAACTATAGGCCAATTTCTCTAAAGAAAGTAGATGCAAATATCCTCAACAAGATCCTGGCAAACAGAGTGCAACAAAACATCAAAAAGATCATACATCATGACCAAGTAGGTTTCATCCCAGGCATGCAAGGATGGTTCAACATACACAAATTGATAAATGTAATTCATCACATAAACAGAAGCAAGGACAAAAATCACATGATCATCTTAACAGACACAGAAAAGGCCTTTGAAAAAAATTCCACATCCATTCATGATAAAAACCCTAAATAGGTACAAAACGACCTTATTTCAATCTCATAAAAGCCATTTATGCCTAACTTACTGCCTACATCATATTAAATGGGGGAAAACAGAAAGCTTTGCCCCTAAAGTCAAGAACAAGACAAAGATGTCCACTATCACCACTCCTGTTCAACACAGTTCTTAAAACATTAGCCAGAGCAATCAGACAAGAGAAAGAAATAAAAGGGATACATACAGGAAAGGATGAAATCAAATTATTATTATTTGCAGATGACATGATCCTATACTTTTAAAACCCAAAAAAATCCCACCAAAAGACTCCCAGAGTTAATAACCAAATTCAGCAAAAGGATACAAAATAAACACACAAAAATCAATAGCATTCATAGTATGAACTCAGTGAGAAAGAAATTAGGAAAACAATACCATTTTACAATATCATCAAGAAAAATTAAATACTTAAATTACATTGGTCTGGAAAAGGAAATTGAGGAGGACATCAGAAAATGGAAAGATATTCTCTGTTCCTGGATATGCAGAACCAATCATCAAAATGGTTATACTTCCAAAACTGATATACTGATTTAATGCAATCCCAATAAAAATACCAAGAACATTTCTCACAGATCTAGAGAAAACAATCCGAGAATTTCTATGGAATCAGAGAAATCCAGAATAGCAAAAGCTGGGTAACAAAAGCAAAGCAGGAGGCATCACAATCCCAGATTTGAAGTTATACTGCAAAGCTACTCTGATAAAACAACGCAGTACTGTTATAAACACAGGCATGTGGATCAATGGAACAGAACAGAGGAAGCAGAAACAACCCTAGGCAATTCAGCTATTTGATCTTTGACAAAGGGGCCAAAAAATACTCCAAGAAAGAACCCTTTTTAATAAATGGTGCTTGGATATCCACATGCAGAAGATAGTCTAAATCCATATCTTACCATGTGCTAAACTAAAATCTAAATGATCAGAGATCTCAATGTTAAAATAATCTGGTGGACAATAAAATAGGTACAACTCTTTAAAGAGATAGGTGTAAGCATGGACTTTCTGAACAGAACCCCAATGGCACAAGAAATACTACCAAGAATCAACAGATGGGATCATATTAAATTAAAAAGCTTCAGCACAGCAAAGGATACAACCAACAGAGTGAAGAGACCACCTACAGAATGGGAAAAAAATTTTGCCAGGTATTCCTCAAAGGACTAACATCTAGACTACATAAAGAATTGAAAAAAAAATAGACTCCCTCAAAATAAAAGATCCAATAAAAAATCGGCAACAGGAATGAATAGACACATCTCAGAAGTACAAATGGCCAATAAATACATGAAAGTATGTTCAACATTGGTGGTCACTAGAGAAATGCAAATTAAAATAACACTGAGATGACATCTGTCTTTTTTTTTTTTGTACTGGGGATCGAACTCGAGACCTTGCACTTTCGAGGCAGGCAGTGGAACCACTAAGCTAAATCCCTGGCTGAGATGCCATCTTATTCCAGCAAGAACAGTCATTAAGAAATCAAAGACTAGCTGGGCATGGTGCAACATGCCTGTAATCTCAGCACTCGGAAGGCTTAGGCAGGAAGATCACTGTAAGTTCCAGGCCAGCCTGGGCTACACAGGGAGACCTTGTCTCAAAAAACAAACAAGAAAACAAACAAAAGAAATAAAATAACACATGCTAGAAGGCTATGGGAAAAAGGAACACTTCTACATTGTAGAGGGGAATGTGAAGTAGTACAACCACTATGGAAATCAGTGTGGAGATTGCTCAAAAAACTAAAAATAGAAATTCTATTTAACTCATTATTCTCCTTCTAGGTATCTTCTTGAAAGAGTCATCACATTACAGTGATACATGCATACCCATGTCTATAGAAGCATAATGTATAATAGCTAAATCTTGGAGCCTATCTGCCTATCAATGTTTCATCAGATGAAGAAAATATGGCATGTGTACACAGTGGTGTACCCTTCTGCCAGAAAGATAAATTTGAGGCACTGGTAGGTAAATGGATGTACCTTGAGACCATAATATTAAGTGAAATATGCCAGATACAGAAGGTTAAATATCATCTGGTTCCTCTTACACAAGGAACTCAAAAAATATATACTTAATAGGAAGGGCCCAGGGATTTAGCTCAGTGGTTCCGCCGTCTGCCTCGCAAGCTCAAGGTCCCGAGTTCGATCCCCGGTACCAAAAAAAAAAAAAAAAAAGAGCTTTTGTAAATAGGATGGGACGAAGAATCGGAAGGAGCTGGGAGGCAGGGGAGTGGGAGTAGGGGATTAAAAAAAAGAACTGGGGTGTGTTATGTACGTGTACCAACTTCTCGCGATATATACTACAAACACGGACTAATAAAACAAAACACTGCACCGCAACAACAGGGATGCAAGATGCTTCCGTCCGCAGGCCCTCAGGGATCCAGCACCCCAGTAAAACCTAGTAACAAGACGACGCTGAGAAGCTGGCGGGTGAAAGAGGCGGGGACTATGGGAGTGCGCAAGCGCACTAGCATCCAACTGGAACCTTCCTCCCGCCCCCGCGGACGGGCCCGCTCCACCCTCTTTCCAGCCCCTCGTTGGTTTGGCGGCTCCTGGGAGGAGGCGCGGCTGTCTCTCCGGGTGAGCGAGAGGGCGGGTCAGTGCAGAAGCAGCATGGCGTGGACACATTTCAGAGTGAGTTTGGAAAGTGAGGGTCGCGGCGGCGGCGGCCAGAGTCCGGGCGGGGACGGGTACCGGGGCTGAGAGGAGGGCCGGTTCCGGCGAGTGTGGAGGAAAAGGTCTGCTAGGGTGTGGGCCCCTTTGGAACGAACGCTCGTGCGTCTTGAGGGGCAGCTACAAGTGCTCGTGCGTGTACACGTGTACTCGGGCAGATCTGTGTAAACGGCACGTGTGTCCGGGCAGAGGCTGATCTGAGTGCACGTGGGACATTTTGCGCTGAGCGTAGTACAGGGGCCTTCGTGAACACACAGCCGCCTGGCTCTTTGTGCAGGAGCCTATACCCAGTGAACTTCAGAGTGAGACGCGGTCCTAGCCCTTCTGAACGCTTGTTAGGGCGGAGCTCTGTGACGAGTGCTTTGTTGTATGTCCAGTTCCTAACTGGTGCTCAAGTGTTAGTTAACCCGAGGCGTTTCTCCAGTCTGGGAGAGCTGGCAGAAGTGTGGCCTACATTAACCGCTCGGAGGGATCCTTAAAGGCAGTTCTGAGCACATCATCTTCTTAGGGAACAAAACCTAATTATTCTGGCCAAGATCCTCGCCTGTTTTTCCTGCTTCATTTTAAGCCGCGTGTTCCTAAGTTCCTAACAAACTTTCTCCATTTCCCCATTCCCTGGGACTTCTCGTTCTCTTCTGTCATCAAAAGATCCTTTATAGTTTCCCACTGCCTCCTAGTTAACGCATGTTTACCCTTTGTCAGGATTAAGTCACTTCTTGAAGACTTTTCCTCAAAAAGAGGAAGAAAAGAGATTTGTTGGGTTGTACACAGTACGTACTTTTTTCCTTCAGTACTTTTTTCCTTCATACCGGTAGATTGTCATGGGTATATTTGCATGATCACTGATTTTGTCTGTTTCTTGAGATTGCATTCACTATAAGGGCAGGGACCAGGTCTCTTTTGCCCATCTTTGAGCTTAATCTGACTTTTTTTTGGTTTTTGAGACAAGTTGTCACCATGTAGTTCAGGCTGGCCTTGAACTCCTGGTGATCCTCATGTCTCAGCCTTCTGAGTGCTGGGATTACAGGTGTGTGCCACCACACCCTGCTCTTTGTATAGTTTTAAAATGTCAATATCCTAACCACAATAGGAGAAATTTAATAAGATATTACATATTTCAGTATGTGGTTGGGACATGACTCATGTAAATGAGATGGTCAGGTGTTTTAAGCCTCTAGTACTTAAAAATCTGAGTGCCACACGTGTGTTGTATTGTCACACGACCCAAGCAAAGTTCTCTACCATTCCTTACGGGATTTCCTGAAATGGTGACTAATTCTTGATAATTCTTTATGCAAAACAGTTTACCTGATAACTATTTTTGGAAAAGTCAGTATGTATGACAACCATGTGGGAAGTAGTATGTGGTGAAATATAGTTTGCTTTTTGGCTCAGGTGATTAAAACTGACTATTTTCTACCCACATGGATGTCAGTAGTATGTTCAGAAGTCATAGAGGACATGGAATAGATTCTTGAACATTAACTCTGTTAGCACTGTTGGTCTCTGTAACCAGTAAAAAGGCCCCCACCTCCCCAAAGGGGCAGTACTGCCTCTCTTGAAAACCCCTGGCCTAGTGTCATAAGGAAAGGCTTCCCGCCAGACTGTGTAAGCAGTGTAAGATACAGCCTCTGTAGAGGCCCGGACTGGAGTTCAGTGTCAGCAGAAGTGGGGAGTCGTCACCTCGTGTGGCACGCCATTATCCTGTGTGTGCCTAGATCCAAAGAGCTTGGGCACAGTGCTACAGCCTGGCGTGGCGGGGCCCCTCACTCGCTCTTTTTTGCAGAAGCGGGCCCTGGATGCTGTGGTCATTCTGGGGGGTGGAGGACTTCTCTTCGGCTCCTACCTGACAGCCACTGGGGATGAGCATTTCTATGCTGAATACTTGATGCCGGCTCTGCAGGGGCTGCTGGATGAGGAGTCAGCCCACAGGCTGGCTGTGCGTGTCACCTCCCTGGGGCTCCTTCCTCGAGCCACGTTTCAGGACTCTGATGTGCTGGTAGGTGCTCTTGCAATCATGGTGAGGGTCGAGTCCCCTACTACTTCTCAGCTGGGATTGAACTTTTGAAAACCAGAGCCCCAGGTTGGAGCTCAATCTGAGCAGTCACTTTATATGATCTCATAACCTCATCATAACAGCAATTATATAATGTATATATGGACCTTAGGTGAGGCTGTGTTCCTTAAACCTCACAGTGACTCCATGGAGTGGGTCCTATGATGATCTCGTCTACAGATCAGGAAACAGATATACAGAACTCAGTGACTTGCCCGAAGTCACGCAGCCAGGAAGTGGCAGAATGGGCTTCACCCTCAGGGAGTCTGGCTCTGGCATCCAGCCTTGGTCCCTGCCTTGCCCAGGCTGCAGGTGGCACAGTCCTCCCCTCTGCCGAATGGGGACATCTGCGGGAAGGCAGCTGGGCCAAGGCAGCCACATGCTGTACAAACGTGGCCCTGTCACTGCTGGTGACCTTGAACCAAAGAGAAGGATGTGTGTCCTCCCAGGATGTGTCCTCGTGCAAGGCCTGGCACAAGGCCTTTCCTTTGAGACACTTCTTACCAATGGGGGACAGCAGAATGATTTGAACTTGAAATCTGAGCAAGCAGCACTCAGGCCTCCTTGGGATTAAAAGGTCCAGATTGTTATTCTGCCCTTCACTGCAGTTCCTGCTCCTGCTTTCGATCCTTTTCACTCCCTGCTTGCAGTTTTGAGCAGCCATGTCACTTTTTCTGACTTCCCACACTGAAGCACAAAAAGGTGTGTAGGATTACACAGAGCCTTCCTTTTGTTAAGCTGTCCTCACCCCAGACTGGGACCAATGTAAGGTGGGAGCAGAGATGGCAGTGCAGAGATGGGGAACTGCAAGGAGGTGACATTCTGCCTGGGATGGTACACAGCTGTTGTGGCCCCACTGTTGCCCTGCATGCTGCTGCGTGGCCCACACCTGTAGCCGCTCATGTAGGTTGTAGTCTCAAGTCTTTTTTTTTTTTTTTTTTTGAGATGTGGTTTTGCTGTTACTTAGACTGGTCTCCAACTCCAAGGCTCAAGTGAACCTCCTGGCTTAGCCTGCTGAGTAGGTGGCACTCCAGGTAGAGACTACTGTGCCCAGTGTTCCCACCCTCTTAACTGACAGCCAGGGCTCTTGATACTCTCACCCCAACTTGCCTTTATTTTCTATTTTTATTTATTTTTTTGGTACTGGGCATTGAACTTGGGTCCTTCCGCTTTCGAGGCAGGCGGTGGAACCCCTGAGCCAAATCCCCAGCCCCCAACTTGCCTTTCTATTTGAGCTTTCCACCACTTGCTTAAATCCTTGGCTTTCTGTCCCGGCTGCATGTTTGAACCTCCCATGGTTCCAACTTTTGAAGTCCCAGTGCCTGCCTCCTGGCAGCCCCATTTAACTGTAATCTCTGAGGCCAGCCTGCAAGCCACCCAGGGGTGGTGTGGTGTAGGGTTGAGAGCCCTGTCCTCAAGGCAGGCCCTAGGGCAGTGCCCTCCCGCCTCACACACGCTCACCTTCACTGTGGTTTCTCCCCTCCTGGAGTGCCTTAACTCCTGCTTCCAGGGTGGTGGGCACACCCGAGGAGCTCCTTGCTGCTGGAGCCAGCCCTTCCTCCAGCTCCCCACAGAGCCTGGGGAACATGGCTCCTGGGGAACGTGGTTCGGGCTTCTTAACAGCCTGGGGTGGCGCAGCTGGGGTGATGTATTAATCAGCTGGTGCTGATTGCTGCTTGCTGCTCCCTGGCTTCAGAGTACCATGACCCTAGGGGCTGAAACCAATGAGCCGCTCTCACCCACCCAGGCTGGTAGACAAGAAGATCTGATTCTTATAACTGCAGAAGACTGTGCCCTTCTAATCAACCCATGGTGGAAATGCTCATTTTCTCCCCCACCTTGATCATGATAAAGCCTCGTGCTTTCAAATCCAGCAGGCATTAGAACTGCCTGGAGAGCATGGCCCCAAATAGATTCTGACCCTGTAGAACTGGGGTGTTTAACCAGAAATCCAGGGATTTCTGAGGGCCACATGCCAGAGACCCCTCTTTGAGAAGCACCACTGTAGCTCTGTGTACCTCTGATTTTGTCTGCCTCTTCCCAGGAAGTGAGAGTCCTGGGCCATAAGTTCCGAAACCCGGTGGGAATTGCTGCAGGATTTGACAAGCACGGGGAAGCTGTGGATGGCCTTTTTAAGCTGGGCTTTGGCTTCGTTGAGGTAGGAAGTGTGACTCCCCAGCCTCAGGAAGGAAACCTCAGACCCAGAATCTTCCGCCTCCCCGAGGACCAAGCTGTCATTAACAGGTGGGTGGTGGCCCAGTGTCTGTCTGCCCTGCTGGGGTCTCAGACCTTCCCGTTCCCTCTCGTGTGATGTGGACACTTTTCTGTCATTTGGAATGTTCAGGAACTCCCCTGAGCACCTCTGGGAGCCAGGCATGGATTCTCGTGCCACCCTTGGAAAGCAGGTGTTACTAATTCAGTATGTGCACCGAGGCGTGGAGAGCTATGCACCTTCGCTACAGTCAGAGACGACGTGCTGTGCAGGAGCGCTTGGGTGCAGCTGCAGCTTGTTAGACTTTATAGTTTGTGCTTTCTCCACATTGTTACTCTGATGCCCTTGTCTGACACGGCCCAAAAGGAATACAATGTGAGCTCCATATTGTAATTTAAAATATTATAGTGATCACATTAAAACAGGAAAAAGAAACAAGTAAAATTAATAATTTATAATTATTATGATTTCATCATAAATAATATATTGTCAGTATCCTTTTAGTATGTGACCAATACAAAGATCAGTGAGCTACCTGCCTTATTTTACTTGTGCCAAGTCTTCCAGCGCCGGTGTGCCCCTACTTCTAGCCCCTCTCCCGGTGGACCAGCCACATTTCCGGGGCTGAGAAGTCATGTGTGGACAGCAGCCCTGGTTTTGGACAGTCAGCCCTTGCTGGCCAGTAATAAACAGGAGAATTTATCCAATGTATATGGCTGCTTTTAGGAAGAGAAGTCCTAGGTGATATAAAGCCCTTCTTTTTGTCACCCTGTGCGATTCTTACTGTAGCAAACCCAGAAGGTGAAATAAGGTCCTAGTTTTGTTTGGTTTTTTCTCTTTTTGGTACCGGGGATCGTAAGTTCCTAGTTTTTGACAACAGTGGTATTGGACAGCCTCCCTGGGGAGGTTTTGGTAGGTGTCTTTGGGGCTGTCGGTGACATTCTGGGAGACCAGCCTAGCACAAGTTTATTTGCCTGTGACTTCTGCTGTATTGTGCCTATTTCAGGGAAATTTCCCAACATCAGAGAGCTAGTTTTTGACCCTTCTGCTGCATTGTGGCCAGGGACCAATGTCTTCAGAACTGGCCAGGCAAAATATGCATGTTTCTGATTGTGCTGCCACAGGTAACTGCAGGTCTCGGGATGATCCTGCAGGTGAATGGTGTGGGACAGGGAGCTTTGCTCCTGGGCACTTGGAGTGTTCGGTCTCCTTGCTCCAATTGCTGTGTGGTGGGTGCTCAGTGGATGCTATTCAGTCACCAAGTCGATGTGCCACTTCACCTGTTCTGCTGCTTCTGGCTGCAAGTAACATAGTGGCTCAAACAACAGGCGTTTGTTACTGTTTTCTTCTCAGCATGTTAGTGGGAAGTTCCAGTGGCTGAGCGGCAAGGTAATGTCAAGAAGGCTGTCCCGTGTACAAGCATTGCATCCTCACATGGACATCCCGAGCAGAAAGGGAAAAGGGCATGAGGGGGACTTTCTCAGAAACTTCATTCCACATCGTTCACGTCTTAGTGGCCACACTGGTCCCATATGATGCTTCAGTTGTCAGCGAGATTGGGAACGCTTTGAGTCATTGACATTTTTCCAATGTAGCTAGGGGCATGGGTCTCACAAATGAGGAGGAATGGAAAGGGAGGGCACTAGGTCACTAATCCACAGTGGGGTTGAGGAGTGCCTGCCTTCGTGGCATCCAGTGGCAGAGTGACAAAGAGGAAAGACCTGACTCTGGCCCTCTAAAAAGAAGATGAACAAGTAACCTTGTGCAGGAATGTAAGCATATTGCTGCATTCTGAGCCAGGAGAAAGCTGGGAACAGAGGACTTGAATGTCAAGGGATGACGATCTGCTGTGGGTGGGGTTTATGCAAGGAGGAGAGGGCGCAATTGATCGAGGCCAGGAAGAAGAGACAATTTTAACAGGCAGAAAGGGTGGGGAAATGGGGTGGCAGGGTGGGCTCCAGAAGGAGTACACGGAGCCCAGGCCCAGGTGGAAAGCGTTGCCGGACCAGACCTCAGAGTGGGCTCCTCGGGGAGGAGGCAGGGTCCTGCTGGGTTGTGTTCAGCATTCGCTGGTGAGCAGCTGGCTCACACATTTTAATCTTTATGCTGGAAGGTGTTCTGACAGGTTCTCTTGGAGTCCCAGGGATGTTTAGATCTTGGAGGTCTAGGAAATGACTTTTGATTGTTTCTCTCTTTTTGCTCTTCAAAGCTGTAAGCGTGTGGCGGAAATGGCTGTGGTGCTTTTTCCAAACTGCTGCCTTCTCATCTTGCCCTCCCTCTGGCTTGTGTGCCATAGGTGCGGTTTTAACAGCCAGGGGCTCCTGGCGGTGGAGCGCAGGTTACGGGCCAGGCAGCAGAAGCAGACCAGGCTCACGGCAGGTAAACGGGAGGCCGAGGGAGGGCTTTCTACAGCTATTAGAGGAAATGTGGAGAAACTCTGGGGAGAGACTGTGACCAAGCAGTAGGAGGAGGCCTCTGGGAGCCTCAGGCTCTTTTCCACGTGAGTTTCCCAGTTCCATCAGCATCGCCAAGGCTCTAGCTGAACCTCACATTCCAGCAAAACCTCTCATGGAATAACTAGGGGAGCCTGGACTGGAGCAAGGCAGAGAGCTCATCTGCACCCAGGTGGGCAGGCAGGGTGAGTGGGACCCGAGCGCCATCTTCCCACGTCCTGCCCTGCTGTCCTTTGTCCAACGTGTAAATAATGTCTGCTGGTTCTAGAAGAGTTAGGAGGTACAGAGCAGCCTACAGAAGGAGAAGTTGGGCTGGGTGTGATGGCCCACACTCATAATCTCAGCTGAGGCAGGAGGATCACAAGTTCCAGCCCATCCTGGACAACTGGTGGACTTAGTGAGTCCCTGTCTCAAAATTAAAAAATAAAAAAATAGGGCTGGAGATGTAGTTCAGTGCAAAGGCCTTGAGTTCAATCCCCAGTACCACCCCCACCCCCACCACCCCCTACTCCATGCCAAAAAAAAAAAAAGAAAGAAAAAGGAGAAGTCAGGTTGGTCATACTGGTCCCCACTTGGGCATAATGATGGTAGCATTTGGAAATATTCCACAGGATCTGTTAGAAACAGCTCCAAAGGCTGCCTTTGGAGATGCTGATGTTTGTTCCCTGTGTCTTTCAACTTTGCTGTCTCAGGTGCACATAGGGGTCACAGCCTTGGGACCATGTGGGGCCACAGTCTCAGAGGCATTTTCCTCTGTAGGTCCCTCTGGGATTCCTTTTGGGAGGTCTCAGTCTTGGGAGGTCTGGGAGCAGGATGAGGAAGCTCACGACTCTTGGATTCATCTCAGGAAGTGAGGTAGAAGGGGCTGCTGCCTGTGGCAGTTTCAGATGTGGGAGCAGGAAATGACCCTCTTGAGAAATGCCTGGCTTTGGTAGAACCAGACCCTGCTGTGTGACAGTCAGGCCTTCCTGTCCGGGGAACTCTGAAGGTCATAATATGACTTCCATGGTGTGTGAGGCTCTCCCGCCTCTTGCCTTCCTTTTCAGTGTCCGCAGGTCCCTGTGTCTGAGCTGTATCCCCAGCCCTCCCTGACACCCCCCGCACCCCAGTCTATCCTCGAGTTCACTGAAGTGGAGTAGAGTTGTGTAGCTGTGCTCTGCACATGTGTCTGCCAGCAGCTAGGAGCCTCGAAGACAGCTTCTTTTTAGCACCATGCCAAGAAGCATGAGGTGACAAAGTGACATTTGGGGTAATTTAGCAACACCTAACTCTTGCTGCGTTGGGCAGATGATTACCAATGAAAGGTTTAGTTGCCACATGGGTGGTAACGGATGAAAGTTGGTAAATGACTGCTAGATGTGGGAAGCTTGGAGACCTTGCTATCATTTTAGTCTGATTTTAATCCCATTTCCAACCCCATTCAGGAAATTAGCTGCACAAATCTATCTTCTTTTCAAGTAGATGATAAGAAAGTGTGATTCATAGCTGGGTGTGGTGGTGCATGCCTGTAATCCCAACACTTGGGAGGCTGAGGCAGGAGGATCACCAGTCTAGCCTACATAGTGAGTTCAAGGCCAGCCTGAACTATATAGTGAGACCCTGTCTCAAACAACAACAACAAAAAACCCCAAACAAACAAAAACAAAGAAAGTGTGATTCAGAGTGTGGGAGGTGGTTGTGGTATTGGGTGTTCTTTGATTGTCCCTGGCCTGATGTGCTGTAAAGTTACTTGGTGTTCCGGGTCTGTTCCCAACTGGGAACAGTAGCTGTACTGCTGATGTACCTTTGCCCTTTGCAGATAGGATAGTAGCTCAGGAGCAGCCACATAGAGACAGCTCCTTTCTTCCTCACATAGCATGTTTGTGAAAATGTATTTTATTAGAGGCTCAAAGTTCAAGTCAGTTTGTAGTCACATGGAGGGTACCTGTGTGACTGGTGTGCAAATGGAGACACTTCTGAGAGTGGAAGGGGAATGATTATGCCGAGACTACAGGAGTAGTCAGTTCTGTCCTGGGACCACTGAGGTATGGGCATCCTGAGTAAAAGGCGAGTCCCTTTTCTCAGAGAACTGAAATTATAAATTATAAAATAATTGTGCTTTTAAAAACAAAAGGGATTAAGGGATGAGTGAAGGGGGGAGGCAGGGGATGAAAAAAGGAATGAAGATGTGTTCTATGCATGCACCAGCTTCCCACAATATAAACATTATGTACTACAACATGTACTGATAAACTAAAAAGTTATACTTTCATATTTTAGGTATGGTTATTGAAAATACTTTCCAGTATTTTGTACTTTTTCTTTACTTTTTACCTTTTTTTCACCACTGCACTTCCAGTCATTTGAGCCAAGATCCATATGCATCCTTTGAGATTCAAGTTGCCCCTTCTGAGAGACCCACTGATGCAGGTCTCCTTCTACTTTTAGTAGATTTATGAGATCTGCTTTTAATTATTTATTTGTTTATCTATTTTTTTATGCTGGGGATCAAACCTAGAGCCTCATGCATGCTAAGCATATGCTGTACCACTGGACCGCACCCCAGCCCTCCCCCTTAAATCAAATATTTGCACTCCCAATTTTTCCATTTTCCATTTAATTTTTAAAAATTGAAAAGGGCAGAGTGCAGTAGAACATCCTCATAGTGGCCCACACTTTGCCATATAAGTATGGCGAGCTGTTTTTTGGGCTCTGGCAGTAGCATGGTGCAGTAATTCCCCACAGTTGTCAGCTGGTGTCAGAAAGTTCACAGCTGCTGAGGCAAAGGCTGGCCTTAAAATGTTGTACGAGAAGTGGTGTGGGGACAAAATCTGACCAGTGATCTTTACAGATGGCCTGCCGCTGGGAATAAACCTGGGGAAGAATAAAACGTCGGTGGATGCTGCTGCGGACTATGCGGAGGGGATCCGGGTGCTGGGCCCCTTGGCTGATTACCTGGTGGTGAATGTGTCCAGTCCCAACACCCCTGGGCTGCGCTCCCTGCAGGGAAAGACTGAGCTGTGCTGCCTGCTGACCAAGGTGGGCATTACACCCCTTCTCTGTACCCCATCCCATAAGCCTGCCCTCCCCAGCTTGTTCCTTCTCTGGGGCACAGCTTGAGTGTCCCCAGTGAGAAGCTGTCCCTCTGTCCTGGACCAGTTAGGAGCCCTCGCTGCACCTTCCCGAACGAAGCACCCTAGCACAGCACTGATTGTACACACTAGTAATTACTTATTCGGTCATCTGTCCCTGCTGTTAAGCTGTAAGATCTATGAGAGTGGGCATGTCTCTCTCATTTATCACTCTGAGCCCAGAACTTAGCACAATACACGAATTGAATGGCTTTTCATCAGCAGGGCTTGTAACAGCACAGGGGTCTTTGGGAACAAAAGTCAGAATCCTTAAGACATAAGCTAATGCCAGTGGGTACGCGAAGAAGAACAGAGCCAGATTCATACCCAAGTGCTGGGTTTCCTGAGGAGGGGAAATTGTTCAGGCTTTAGTGTGAGGCTGTGTGAAAGCACCAACTGCAGCTTCAGGTCTCAGCCGCGCTGCTGGCCTGCAGTCCGGGGGTCCCCATCTGTGGCACTGTCGCCTCAGGTTCTACAAGAGAGGGACGCCTTGCAGAGGGCACAGAAGCCGGCGGTGCTGGTGAAGATCGCCCCCGACCTCACGGCTCAGGACAAGGAGGACATTGCCTGTGTGGTGAGAGAGGTCCGACTGGGGCCGGCCCAGGCATGGGGCGCCTTTCATTGTCCATTTGGCCCACAGGGATGGCCCTGATCAGCATGATTGATGACTCTTCTCTGTGACCTCAAAGGCTGGTTGGGTGTCTCGTCACATAATTCATCGCGTGGTAAAAAGTAACTGAGTCAATGTTTGAACGCATCCTTTTCCATGCCTCTTCCTCCCCCTTTGCTGGTGCGCAGCAAGAGCTTTATGGCTTGTGCTGCTGTCTCCGGCCAGCCTTGACTGGCACTGGATATTGTGTCTCCCCATCTCTAGCCGGTCTGCACACCAGGCCTCTTGGTGGAGAATAGTGGAAGCACACACTGAGCCCTACAGACCTGGGTTCATTTGTTTTTTTTCCTTAAATTCTTTTATTGGTTCATTTTAGGTATACAATACATTTACATTTATCATTGGGTGCTTGTACCTGTACGTGATGTATCTTGGTTCTTATTTTTTCCCCATTCCCTGTCCTCCCTTCCCCCCTTCCCTATTTACAAAGACTTTGTTTCCATTTTTTCCTTTTCTTATAATTTTTCCTTTCCTTTCTTTCCTTTCCCCTTCCCCTCCCACTTCCCCTTCCCCTTTGTACCTTTTCTTCCTATTTCAAGTTATCAATTATTTATTTTAATCATTTTAATCCTTATTTACACTTTCAGTTTCTCACACCAGAGAAACTATTCAGTATTTACACATG